GGGCCCGACGCAGGGCCCTCCGGGGCAGCGCAGATCAGTGGGCTCGGCCTTAACGATAAACTACAAAATGAAATGTCCGGAGTGGGATTCGAACCCACTTCCCTTGTGATGGGACAGAAAAACCGCTGGACCGGCGGTTAGCTTAACGCCATCATTATCACGCGTCAGAGTTTACGATGGCGTGTTTGGTTGCGTTCTGTAACTCTGCGTCATCTTGTGATGGTGTTGGTGACACGTCGACTGCAGTATCAACAGATGTGCTCTCAGACTTAACCGGCCCTTTTCGGCAAGAGGCGAAAGCCAGAGACACACATGCGGCAAATAAGAGAAGAACAATGTCTATTAAACTCGTGTCTTCAGTGTGGCACTGGCTGCTGCTGGACAGCTCCACACTCTCACTGCCATTTCGAGTCATATTTTCACGTTCATCTTCTACAATAGCTTGGGCGTTCAGTCGGAGAAGCAGAAGCGCTACAGCGCCGAGTGAACAAACGTACTGAAACGACATCCTGACCATTACTGACTCTCCTCTTTACGTGCGCTTCTACTTATTCGTTTCCTAGCCGCACCGAAACACTAGCTTCTGCGGGCAGCACAGAGCGGTGGCGCGAGGCTGCCATCCTAACCAGTGGGTAGAAACGCGCTAGGCAGAGTCGGGCACAGCTCGGTACCGGCAGAATCCGCTCCGAAATAATTTACATAACGTAAAACAATATTTTTTGGGCGAAATCGTGAGACCTTGACACGCCATACTTCAACAGCTTTGTAAATCTCTGCTTGGTTTCTACCGGAGATGCATCGTTTGTTTACTCTAGCTCCCCAAACGCGGTATCGTGCCTAGTCAACGCGGGCCGTCCACTGCGTTTCTACACCCTGCCCTGACGCAGCCATGCGCCGGACACCCGAAACCTGCAGCTCGCGTCAGCAGCGTTCGGCCCCTAGGAGGCCCCCCACTCCGCTCCCGGTGCGCCCAGCGACCAGCATCCAGCATAGAAGACCGTTACGAGATACATCCTATTGCGGGGGCCCGCGTAGCCGCAGTCGTTCAGTGGCAGGCGCGGAATGGCGTGACGCGGGTTCGACTCCTGCGCTTCGCATCAGAATGTGCATTTTTCGAGATTGACCTCGCGGCCGCGAACGCGTTTACCGTGTAGTCGTGGTCGTTTAGAGTACCGCCCAGAAACACAGCTTCACGGGTTCGATTCCAGGACGAGGCGCCGCATTTTGCGTGACGTCACACCCCACCCGACCGGTACCCCCACGCCACCGTCATCTACCCCCACCACCACGAACACGGACCCCCACTCCTCTCGACGGACCCGCTACCCATCCTCGCACCCTGGGCAGTAGGCAACCGCTACTGAGAGCCAGTATAACTACTCACCCATAAGTCACTTTTAAGATGTGGTGCCCACCTTTACCTCGCGACTAGAACGCTCTACGCGGGTTGCATACCCAGTGGGGGCAAAACGTGAAAAAATACGTAAAATAAGACTTTCTGGCCAGTATTGGGCTTAATCGTTTCAGAAATGGAAAATATCACGCAATACAACGATCTGGCGCACATCGAGGGGTTTGCCTGCCTCTCGGGCGATAAAATAACACAAAAACATGGTTTTAGCTACAAATTTTATGAGCATCTGAAAAGGTTTTAAGCTCGGGACTCAATGGTATGTTTCTGCAAACTGAAAACAAAGGCGTTGTACAATGTAAAAATTAAATAATAAAGTAATAAAAGCAATTGAAGGTTTAATGTAATGAGTATATGATGCCGCAACCAAGTACTTCAAAGCCGAAAATTCACGTATATCTCTCCTTTAGCCAATAGAGATCAATTATTCGATATTCTTAACGCCTTACAGGTAGGGAACCCGCCAAAATCTGTTGCCAGATTGGTATGTCCTACAGTACTTCAAATTATAGAAACAGTTGAGCCCAATACCGCCCAGAAAAAGTCATTTTACGTGGTTAGCGTTTTGCCCCCACTGGGTATGCAACCCACGTTGAGCGTTCTAGTCGCGGGGTAGAGGTGGGCACCACATCTTAAAAGTGACCTATGAGTGTCTACTATATACCTCCAAAACGGTTTTGCCCTACTGCAAGAGCTTTACTATCAAAAGTATACCACAAACGACGGGTGTGATGCACTAAAGGTTTATGCCTATAAATTCGTGTTTATGTGATATTTTATCGCCTGAGAGGCAGGCAACCCCCTCGATGTGTGCCAGATCGTTACACTGCGTGATATTTCCCATTTCCGAAACGATTGAGCCCAATATCACCCAGAAAAAGTCTTATTTTACGTGGTGTAGCGTTTTGCCCCTACTGGGTATCCAATCCGCGGAGAGCGTTCTAGTCGCGGGGTAGAGGTGGGCACCACATCTTAAAAGTGACCTATGAGTGTCTACTACATACCCCCAAAACTGTTTTGCTCTACTGCGAGAGCTTTACCATCAAACGTACCACAAACGACGCGCGTGTAATGCACAAAAGGGTTGTGCCTAAAGTCGTGGTTTTGTGTCTTTTTATCGCATGAGAGACAGGCAACCCCCTTGATGTGTGCCAGATCGTAATACTGGGTGATATTTCCCATTTCCGAAACGATTGAGCCCAATATCGCCAAGAAAAAGTCTTACTTTACGTGGTTTTCGCGTTTGCCCCCACTGGGTATGCAACCCGCGTAGAGCGTTCTAGTCGCAGGGTAGAAGTGGGCACCACATCTTTAAAGTGACCTATGAGTGTCTACTACATACCCTCAAAACGGTTTTGCTCTACTGCGAAACCGTTTCCATTAAAAGCACAACTCACGACGCGCAAATAGGCGTTTGTATGTGTACGATTACGAGTGAGTTGTTCCCCCCCCCCCTCCATTTTAGAACACATACACACGGCTTCACACACTCTGACACGCTCTTACCCACCCTCTGACACGCATATACACGCATAAACACTCGTATGAGCCGCCAAAGAAGTTTGTAAGTAATTTAAAGATTTTGCGATATTTTGTCGCCTTACAGGTAGGCAACCCGCTCAATGAGTGTCCAGGGCATTATATTTCGTTATATTTCTCATCTCTGGAACGATTGAGCCCAAAATCGGCCGGAAAAGTCTTGTTTTACCTAGTTTTAGCGTTTTGCCCCTGCTAGGTATGCAACCCCTGTAGAGCGGTCCAGTCGCGGGGTAGAGGTGGGCACCACATCTTAAAAGTGACCTATGGGTGTATACTACACCCCCCCAAAACGGTTTTGCTCTACTGTAAATTGCAAGGTTTGGTCGTTTTTCGGGGCTTACTCCCCGTACTACGGAAGGTCTAAGGCTTGCCCTGGCGGAACGCCCACATTCCGCACCACAGAATTTTCCTCTAGGACTCGTTCCGTTTTCTTTTCCTTCGAAAGCCCAGAGGCACGCAGATGCCAAGTGTCCCCTAAATATATTATACAGTAACACCAGAGCGTCGAGGTGTTGAGGGGTCATTCAATACTACTAAACATTTCAAGAGCGGGAGCTAGCATCAATAACTCACGCTAATTTGATGTATGGGTGGCAGGGTGGCCTTGATCAGTGCATTCAGAACAGATGAGGCTGAGCAGGTCACAAGATGGACCTAGCCGCGGCACTTCGATGGTGGCAAGACCGTCTTATACCCAGAGATGGACGATTGTTATCGAAGATTGAATGCCAACTTTTTGGAAATAAGGTGACATTTTTCAAGACCGGGACAGATACAACATGACAGTCTAAAGCGAGTCTAAAGAGAGGTCTGAAAAAAGGAATTAAAAAGTTAATGATTCAGAGCGCTATTTTGGTCAATTTGTGTTTTCGTTTCTTGTCCTCGAATAAAAAATCTAAATCAAGAATCTATCTTGAAAGCAGATGATACAAATTTAAGAATAGGTCTATATGTATATGTAATTTTCTCTCATATTTAGCTGTTTATGGCTGCTTGTTACTTTGCAATCTTGTAATTCGGCGGACTAGCGACGTAAAGGGGAAGATAAGGGGTGGGCAGTGGGCACAGCGGCCGGCGTCGGTATAGCTCAGTATTGTTTGGCAGGGATGGGGCCTCGCCTGCCTGGTGTAGTATTGTCGACGAGAGGGGATAACGCAAAAGGAAAAGGCTTCATCGCGACAGCCAGCCCCCAGCGCCCAAAATTATTGTTGATGTTGTTTGTGTTTGCTGTTTGCGCTAGGTCTCTTCTCCTTTAGTTTACTTCCACTCTTTTACCCTATCGAGAGTTCAAGCTGCCGACACCTTGATATTATTATTTATGTATAATTTTTAAGTTAAGTAAATGTTTCAAGGTATCTTCGAACTGATCAAGAGCTTTGAAAGCAAAATTCTCGCTCCGCTCCATAACCTTTGTAATTCGATCCGTAAATATCTGCTGTGAGTAAGCTGGGGACTCGGTTGTAGTGTAATAATACTGGGTGGTAGCAAAGTAATGTACGGCACTAGTTGTATCTTTCCAAACATATTTTGTTAAAAAAAAACACAGTTTTTAGCCCGCCCTTCTGCTTTGAAAAAGCTATCCAGCGGGCTTATGCAAACGACCTCGTGTCTGTCTGTGTGTCTGTCTGTCTGTCTGTCTGTTCCACTAGAAAGAGACTTGAAATTTTCAGGGTATCTTAAGGTCCACTCCTAGAGAACGAAACGCCTACGGCAAATCCTGGCAACCACCCCTAAAGGGCTAAAAGGGGGTATCAAAGAAAATCGGGTAGGTCAAAAAAGTCAGATTTTTTTTATTTTTTTGTTAAGATCCCCTGAGGGGTAACTCGTCTAAGGTAGAGCCCTTTGGACAAAAATTTCGTCCGTTTGGCTCTATCTCTAACCGTTTAGGCGCTAGAGGGTCTTGTTTGACGAAAATAAGCTTAAAATTCCTGTAGTGAACAATAAGTTGTAGAAGAAGGCCCAAAACCGCAAAAGAGGAAAGAAACTCCCTCCCCCAACCCAAAAAACGTTTTCTAAGCAGAAGGGTGGGTTGTAGTCGCGGTACTTCACCGTTACATCCCTTCCTCGTGTCTACGGGGCAAATTTTAAGGACGACGGGCTTTGCGGGCAGAAGGCCCGTTACGTCATCTGATTATGTTTTTCAGCAAATTGCGTGACAGAAATGGTCGGGCCGCAGGCCCGACCATCGCCGCCGGCAGGCCAAGCAGGCCCGGCCCCTGCCGAACGGAGTTGCCGGCGCAGCGAAGCGAAGCTGGCAACTTCGTTTGGCGGAAGGGCAGGCCTGCTTGTTTTCTATTTTTCTGATCTTTTGGAAAAACGCAACGCCAATACATGTTATAACGTAACGGAACCGTTACATTTCTGCCAGGGCCGTAACGGTAACGCGTTACCGTTACGTGGCTCCGAAATAACGCGTAACGCAACGCGTTACTTTAAAAAATGTAACGTTAAAAGCCCTGGACAGGAGTATGACCGAACCTAACAAAGGCATTTCGAACAGAAACTCGCGAGCGAAGCGAGCGAGAATATTTTTGGTATGTTATGATAGAAAGAGTGGTTTTAAGAGGGATTCAGCTGTTGGGAAACCCTTTTCACACCGTTTCGTTTTCCCTTCCGGTATTGTCAGCTGGGGTTGCTCCAGCGCCCTTACTTGAGATTACCCACACCCAGAAGACCGTTTAGTCCAGAGAACTAAATTCAAAACCAACGAAATTTTAGCCTTCGGGACCAAAATTTATCTGTGGCGATGAAATAATTTAGTCCAGCTGACTTAATTTGATTGATGCGACCATATTTAGTTAAAAATGGGGTTACTAAATTTTAGTCGGTTTTAGGAACTAAATTTTGTTTCTTACAACCCTGATTTAGTTTTATCAACTAAATGATTCTCTGGGTGCACCTGAAAAGGGGTCCTCGGTCGTCCGCTACCCCTTTGAGATCAATACGGAATGTAACAGTCATGGAAAAGTGCGAGCGAAGCGTGCGAGTTTCATTTGGTTTGTATTCTACGTCAAAGAGGAGTATGGTTTTGAGCGGGATAATTATTGTAACTTAAAATATTCTTTCGGCGCAGTTTCCATTTTATTCTGTAAGAAAGACACGGCAGTTAGAAGTTTTTATAGATTTCCTGAGTTGATTTTCCCGGATATTTTCCGAACTTTTTCCGGTCAATTTCAATTCCTGTGTATTCCCGTATTTCCAGGGTCGCTCGACACCCTGCAGAATGCAATAAGCAAGGAGGGACTTTGAGAACACCTCGCCGTATACCCAAAATAACGCTGCCGGCCGTTTTTCCCTGACACAGCGCTCATTTCCCTGACATTTCTCTGGCTCCCCTGACACATTTTGTTTTCCCTGACATTTCCCTGACTTCCCTGACTTGCGGCAGCCCTGTTTAATATGGACTATGCGAGGCGAGCGGCCGCCAACTCACCTCAGCAGTGTACGGAGTATTATTGTATTGTGTGGTATTATGGCACGTTTTAAGGGATTTGATATTATGAAGTATTAAAGACTACTATCAGGTATTATAAGGTATTATGGGGTATTTCAGGGTTTGTTGTGACACATTATGGAGTATTGTAAAGGTATTATGGGACCCGTGTACGGAGTATTATGCGAGTTGGCGACCCCTCGATGCGAGGTAATTTAGACCACCCTGTTTTGGCCTCTCTTTGACACACATTGCAAATATAAACCAGTCCAATCCTTGGCCTTCATTGGGTTTGTTTAGGTGGACACATTTAAATATCAAAATATGCCCCATGGCAGGCAAACTGAGGTGGTCAAAATTACAACGCATGGTCCATATTAAAATAGGGGCCCGTGCGTAGTCAATGTGCACGGGGTAGCTGAGCGAAGTGGGTTTAAGTTTGCCATTGTCTCAGTTGGTTTTTTATTTTACTTCTTTCTGATTTTTTTAAATGATCCTTTTTTGGGTGGTGGGGG